AAAAAATAATTTGTATTCTATTAACCATTTGCTTCCACAGAAATTGTGTACAGTAAGTGTGCTCAAAGTGTCAAGGACTTCGTACCCAGACCTCTGTTCACTAATTGGCTTTAGCTGAACTGAATATTTGCCATGAAGACAAGATTTCTTCTAAATGTATTAAAAATGAGGAGTTTTAATTTTAACAGAAGTACTGAGGTTGTTTTGAGGTAGGCTGTGTGTGACTTTGATGGCTCGGTGAGATGATATTTGCAACTTCCTCTGGTCACTTCTTATGTGACTCTTTTGCATGTTGGAAGTGTGTTCATGATATTTTTGGCACTGAGCTCGTGTTTTGTGGCCTTTCAAATGAGTCTGTATGCTTTAAACTCACTTGTGCAGGTGCCTGTGTGGAGTAGCTGACATGGTGAGCCGAATGTAAATGTGTAAAATGTAAAATGTGTGTCACCTGAGGCTGAGCAAAACTGTGGTGGCTTTTTGATGTCGTTTGTGCAACTGATTTCAACTTGAAGAAGGGATTTATGCTCACTGGGAAATAATCTTCTGACTTTTAGATCTCCTCGAGGTCTTCAGTCCAAAGATGTTTAGAAATTTGCTGATTGGCAAAGGGAGCAACATGCCTGCAAATGGGTTTTGTCTCAGCTCTAATTCAAGAAACAAGTGTTGTATTGATTTTGAATAAGTTCCTGTTGTTTAAAGCAGTGTTTTGCACTCACCACTGACACGAATTTGTGAGTCAAGAGGAGAATTTTCACAAACCCAGTATGGGGGAGCATAGCCCACAGTGTTTATCAAGTTGTGGATATCACAGCTCCATGGGAGGGCATCTGGAAATTAAGTTCTTTTCGGGGATTGCTGCTCAAAATCTACTGTTACCTTAATCAAGGAGAATTGTCCTTAATATGGAGATCAGCTTAAGGTATTCAGTATTAAATCTTCCTGCATCACACAGGGCAGGTACCAGTTTCATTTTGTCCAAATTAAATTAGGCAAGACAAAACTATCTACTCTAGGAAACTATCTATTCTTTATTTTTGGCTAAAATCAAGCTTTGGATTTTAAATCTTACTTAGAAACTGTCTTATATTGAAGTCTCAGCACTTTATCAGGAAATAACAGGGGGAGGAGACAATTGGCAGATCTTGCTGTGTTTGTGGCTTTTTCTAGGCAGCATTTGAGTGTATGAAGCTGCATTTTCAGCAAAGGGCAGACAGACATGCAGGATAATGGCTGGCTCAGGTGCTACTCTGAAAACCAAACCTGAGAAATATTTAGGTGGGGGGGAGATGGCAGAAATGTTCTATGTTTGATTCTTCATTCCAAAAAAATCTTGAAGGCTTTATTCCCATTTCTTATTAGTTTCAGTGAGTGTTGCTTAGGCTCTCTTTCATCAAATGCTCTTTTATTTCTCTGGTTGTTCTTCCATTTTAATCACATTTACTGTAATAATGCATTTCTTCCTCCCACTCCTCCTACATGACAGCCACACACAAATAATGTGTAACCTGCTGTCTTGTTTATCAACAGCACTGGTGATGGTGTTTGTTCCATTTAGTTTTGGAGCTATTTTGCAATATGGGTAAAGCTTAAATGAGGTGAATTTAATCAGCCTGGCTGTGACAGGCCCTGCAACTTTCACAACAGAAAAATGTACATTACTGGAAAGGTAACTTAATGAGTGGATTTATTCCTTGCGTGAATTTTGTTAGCATGTACTTTAATTTATTTGGCATATTGTTTCTTTTCTGTTCTCTCTACTGGGACAATGTCTGGCAATGGTGGTGATCTGTGAAACTGAACCATGGAGTTGATCTAGGCAGGAAAACCAAACCAAAGAACTCCTTTCCCCTTTTCTGTGCTTTTAGTCTGGCTCATCTCTAGCATTCATTTTACATTGCATTCCTACAAAATATTGCTTTGGTACAAATGAAATAAAAGTGAATTACTGAGCAAGTTTGGGTAAAATGAGCAAGGGTTTGGAAACATCAGATGCTTCTAAGCTAGAAGTAGACATGGGGAAAGAAAAAGAGAATGGGGCAAGAGCAGTGCAGGATTTAACATTTACAATAAGGATGTTTGTGAAAAGCACTTTGGAAAATATTTTGAAACACCAGTGTGATGAGTGCCTCTCTGGTTGTAATCAATTTTACAGTTAAGATTCCATTAGAATTAGTGAGTCTCATTGTCTTTCTTGAATAATGTATTTTTTTTTCATCCCCAAATGTGTTTTTTTTTAATGTGGGAAACTTGTTTTTAATGCAAATTAATATTCCAGCCAAAAAAGTGCCTTTTTGACCTATTCTGGGTGTATCTCCAAAATACTTAGGGCTTGGAGCTGTGATAAATTTGGTGGGTGAGCACCAAGGAAATTCTGCACACTTTTAACAAACATTTCCAATTATTGCAAAACCCCATAAATCTGTGAGCAGGGCTGATTCTGTTTTACTTCAGGGTGTTCCTGTTCTTAAAAGCCTTGACAGAAAGCAGAAAATTTATGTAATTCTGGGCAATCCTTTACATGACCATTACAACCCTCTCTTTTACAAAGCCTTAATTCTTTGAAGTAGCTGAATTTTATCCATCTAGGCTTCAGTCTGCCAGATCTAATAAAAACCTACAGCATTACACTGCATATTATGGTTGTAAAACCTTCTGGTTGTCCTAATAACAAACACTTGCATGGGCCACGAGGACTGGGTCGCATCTCTTTCAGGTTCTCAAGTGGAGGTTTGGATTTTAGCTGCAAAATCTGCATATGACTAAGAGTCAGGAGACCTGCACAACATCCCCCACCCCAGCAGCGTGAGCAGCAGGGCTTCTGGAGAAATGCATGTTTGTGCTGCCTGGGTGTGCAGCTGGGCCATGCAGGGATGTGGGGCTCGTCAGCTTTTAGCAGCTTTTTCTGTGTTTCCCTGGCTCAGTGGAGCAGGAACACAGAAAACCCAGGGTGCCCTCACTGCAGCCCCAGAGAGCTCCCCAGCAGGGTCCCCAAACCTGCCTCACACTGCAGAACCAGGAAAGAACAAAATAACTGAATAAATATGTTTTTGTTCATTCACCACTGCTTTTCTCCTTTCTAGTTTTTCGGTATGTTGCTTCTTACATGATTCTTACCAATACGGGTGTCATATTTTCAGTAACATTTAACCTGCATCCCTTTACTGTGCCCAGCTTGGAAAATACATCTGAAACTGGTGAAATGTCAAAGCTCAGTGGGACAAATTAGGGCTGGAGCAGCAGTCTGAATTCTGTGATGTTCTGGGCCAGTTTTGGGTTTTTTCATTCTGCCATTCTGCTTCCTTTTAGTAAGTCTGAATTCTGTGATGTTCTGGGCCAGTTTTGGGTTTTTTTCATTCTGCTTCCTTTTAGTCATTTTGCTTTTTTTTTGCTGCTTTTTTTTTTTTTTTGTAGTTGTTTCGGTGGTAGTAGAGTGTTCATTCCAGGTCAATATTTTTCAAATTTTATATCTAGTCAGACACATGCAGGCCAAGTTCAGGCACTCCAAAATAAGGCTTAATCCTCACTAGTCCCCCATGTCTGCTGCTCCCATTGAAATCAATCAAATGCAGCTTTCCATACTTCAACGTGATTGTGTTATGATTAAACAGACACTCATAAAACTCAGACAAGCTGGAATCAGGTTTCACATGAAACTGAACTGACTTTTTTTTTTTCTTAATAGGATCCTTGTAATTAGTGATTACCAGATGCATTTAGAATGTGTGAAATGCCTGCAGGAATTGGAATTAAGAAGGGGGAGGGATGCCAAACACCTCAGATCTTCTGCTGGCAACCTTTCATTTTAAATTTCTGCCCTGCACATAGATGAAGCAGCATGGTTTCTATAAAATGTTCAGCTGTGGTTTCACATTAAGTTGATGTTACCAGTAAGGAGAGTGACTTGTAATTGAAAACTGATTTGCTTATAAATAGCAGGTTTAGCTCTGGATGGCTCCCCTCTTCATTTCGGTGGTCACCTTGCTGTCCTTAAGATAGGTCTTACGAAACCTGTCAATTTTCTGTTCTAGCAACTACCATAATGATGTTGTTTGATCTAAAGAAAAGAATAAGTCTTCTGGGCTCCTTTTCTGATGAACTAGAGGTGTCTGAGGAAACATACCCTGGGCTGTCAGCAGCCTGCAGCACAGGAGCAGAATGATTCCTCTGGACAAGGTGATGTTGGCTCACTCTTTGTACAATCTCTTCTCCCACTTGAGCAGGAGATATGGTGCTTGCTTTTTTCATGTTTGGAGTTCTAATTCAAAATCTCCAATTTCAAGGGATTATCTTAATGTGGACTGCTTACTGTTACCCTGTAGCAGCCCTTTTCTCTGAGAGCTTGGTTTGGGATTTTGTATTTGTCTCCCTTCTCTTTGGAAATACAGTGCTGGAGAGTAACTTGTCTGACCAGAGGGAAGCTTGTTAGGAGCTTGTGGAGTGCTTGAACAACACAGTCATTCTCAATAACTTACATGTAGCTCCTTTTCTCTCCAAATGATTTAGACCAGAGTTATTACTCAAATTCTCTTAATTTTGGAGCAGTAGTTTTACTGAGCACTTCCATGAAGCATAGGAATTTTTTGGACAATGTGAGGACATGCTTGAATTCTAGAGTATGAAGAAGTAATTGATTCTTCTAGGGTGATTAATAAAAGCCCTTTTTGCAGCCCTTCCAGTGTTCCTGCAACTGCTGGCAGCTTTGCTCCTTGGGTAGATTTTTGTCACCGCAGCCAGAGATTGTTGCTGCTCCTGCCCTTGCAGAGCTGTCCCTGACACAGTGGTGGACTTAATAGAGGATGGTGCTGGGAAGGAGGAAGCAGATTCCTGGCTTGCTTGCCAACCAGTTGTAGTTTAGAAAGAATAAAATAGAAATACAAGACACTGTTATCTGTTCCCATTGTAATTGGATACTTAACTTTTTCTTCTTAGACTGTTGATTTTTTTTTTTTTTACTTCCCCTTAAAAACTCCTTTTTTTTTTTCCTTCCCTCTTCCTAATAGATTCACTGTGAGGAGTTCAAAATGAAGAAGAAAGATGCAGAGGATTGCATGGAGCTGTGCCCCGATCAGTCTGTTGAGATGGAAAGGTACTCTGTTCATGTTATATGGAAAAACTCCTTTGTTAAAATTTTTTTGGCACCTGCAGTTTCACAAGGTAGTATTAGTCCTACTGATGACACTGAGAGTATTAAGTATATACTGTAATATATGCAGTGAGTGTCCTCTGCCTTTCAGCTGAGGCTGCCTGGCAGCCACCACAGGCAAGGAGCTAACCTGACTTCAAGAGCTGGTTGTCCCCTGTCAGCTACTGTATGTTAAATTTCCTGGCTGCATTTCCAAATGGTTTTCATCTGTCTGTCCTGCTCGTGCTGTTGGTAGATCGCTGCAAATACCTCAGCTCTGTGTGGTAGACACTGACTCAAATGAATCATGGGCTTGTTTTCCTCCAAAGGCTCGGCCCAGCTGTTAGCCCAGCTCAGCAGGGCACTGGTGAAGCATCCCCATCCTGGCCCAGGCTGACATAGGAGGCAGAATGGGCTGCTTGTGGTGATTGCTGATTTGAAGAGAGACTAGTGGTGTCAAGTACCAGTTGAAAATGTCAGCTCTGTGCAATTGCACGGCACCAGAGTCACAGCTTCCCAGAGGAACGAGCACATGGAAGATGTGAACAGACTCGTGGGGCTCCATCTGAATGTGCAGGGCAAGCAGCCAGTCCAGAAGGGGCCATGGGAGGGACACCATTCCAAAAAGGAACGTGCCTTTTGTGCCCCTTTCAGGCCAGCAAAGTGCCCTGAAAGGGGCACAACCTTTTCCAGGCATTGATCTCCACAGAAAAAGAGTGAGCACTTGAAAACATCTCTATTTGCCTCCCTTCGTGTCCTTTCAGCTTTCAGTTCTTTCAACACGTTCCTGCCACCTCCCCACAGCTTTCTGCATGTGTGCCTTTCAGTGGGGGAGTTCATCTGCTCAGACAGCACGTGCTGCTTGGTGGCTCTGCTTGGCCCAGCTTTCCAGTTGATTGATTTTCATGGCAGAAAATCAATTCCCTTTCCGCTGGTGATCCACACGCAGCTACATGAGGCCTTGGAGCTGAGTCTGGGTGACAGTGCCCCACTTGCTGCCTCTCCAGGGAGACAGTTGTCTGCAACTAACTCAGGGCTCATTTGAAGCCTGAGAAAGTTGGTGGAAATAATTTAATTGGCTTTCCTGAGGTTTGAATGCAGCCCAAATGCTGTCCATCAGGAAGACACTCAATGTCTTGGTAGTATAATGAAGTGGAAGATCCAAGTGAAAGGGGGATGATGCTCTTTTCCTGATGTACAAGCTGTATAGATACAGGAGTGAGGCAGCAGCATGGAAACTTCCCAAGGGACAGGAATATCCAAGCATAGAGGGAACAGCACTGTGTGATAAGTAACATCTTTTGATGCAAGCCAACAGCCATGGTCTTCTTGCATGTTGCAAATTTCCTTAGGGGAGTAGTCAAACACTGAGATACACTGTGTGCCTGTATATCACTAGCTTTCCTTCTCCTCACTGAGCTGGGATGGATTATAGGTGCTGCTTCACTTAATCACTGGGCCTCCCCCTTTTTTCTTTTTTTTTTTTGACTTGTTTTCGGAGAGAACCAGATTTGTTTCCATTAAGAACATGCCCCCCTTTTGCTGTCATTTGTGTAATTCTTAAAATTAAGCAAAAGTATTAAGGAATAATTGTTTCTGCTCACATTAACAGCACACAGCTTCTCCAGATGTGGCATTTGACAGCCCAACAGCTGCTGGCTATTAAATGTGCCTTAAAAGGCCCATTCCTTTGTCGTAAAGGGAACAGAAGTGTAGGGACGTTTATGGGGTGAGAGGCAGATGTTTTGGCTACATCAGATTTGAGGGAAAGTTTTAAGTGGTTTCTCTGCTATGGTCACAGTGCATGTTTTAACCCCTATCATACACTTTATGTAGCTCTCTTCTTGGCACTGGGGTGAGATTATTCCTAATCCCCCTAATCTGGGACACAGCAGTTCTGCCAGATAGATCTCAGTTTATGCTTGCCTGGATTTCCAGCTATGCTCTTGAAATACTGGATAAATTTTTGGGGATGAAATTCAGGTTAAAATATTAAGCTAGAAACAATTTGAATTAACGTGTTTCCTTTTTCCTCCCCCCCCTAAACTCTCTTTTAAAGTATCTACTCATAATCATCAAAGGCAGGTGTGCTTTTTGTGTTTGTCCCAGCACAGTATGTTTTACGCCCAATAAACTATTTTTTATGGTGGTACATGTGAGGTGGAACATGGAAGGAGTGGAGCTCAATTTCAAAAGTTCTGGCTTAAATTCCCAAGCCGAAACTTTGAGTGGAGTGTTGAGTACTGGAATAGCACCACTGGTCCTTAGGGAGCTGCACCACTTTTTAACTATTCTCTATCAGCTCAGAGTCTGCTAAACTTCTAAGAGCTTACAGGGCTCCAAAATTTTTTTCAGTAACAAAAGGTTTTTTGTCTTCTTGGCAAAATTTTATTCTTCCTATTTCTTATTGGACTGGAAATTCTTTGCTGTTTTTTAGTCTTAACTGGATGGGATTTCAATATAAAAATCCCAGTGTATTTGCATGAAAAAAAAAATCTAAGAGTTCTACAAAACTGAATTAAAAGAGAGCAAAAGTTCTGCAAAATTATGTGGAACATAAGAGAATAGGCTTGTTCTACGGATAAACTGTCATTTTAAAGAATTATATCCCTATTTTTATTCCTATTTTAAGTCTATTTATAGTGCAAGTTAGACTAAATATTCTGTAATTCAATCTGATTCTCCTCCTAATTCTACAGGCCTTTTTCTGACATGAAGACTATTATCATAAATAAGAGAAATATTAGCTGAAACAATTTGTCTTGAAATTTGGCACATTTCAAATTTATCTGACTAGTTCTTTCTCCATAATTCAAATGCAGAAATTTCTTTTTTTCCATGGATTTACTTCGTAGGCTTAGCCAAGCAAGAATCCTATATCCCAAATGCCCACCCAAGGGGATGAAGCACATGTTTTACCATTAAGCTCTGGAATTCATTTCCCATCAAAATATGGCTCCATGGTGTTGGCATCTGGCTGTAAATCCTGGCTTAAAGCCTTTTTTCACAATTGTTTATGGTGTGTATTTGTGCTTTCACCACCACAAGAAAATGACCCCAGCACACCAGCCTTGAAATGAATATTTCAAATAGAATTCTCTGGTTTTGGTATTAGTATTGTGCAATAAATGCCTCGGGACATCTTGTAGGTATGTCCATTGTTGCCATGTAACTGCTATGAGTAGGGAATAATGCCAGTTACCAGTAACAAATGTGGAAAGCCAAGAGATGCAAAACTGGGATTGTTATGGAGCTTCTACCTTCATATTTGAGGAAATTCTATTTTTCAGCCTTCAATCTATGCTGCTCAAGCCCAAAGCATGGGGCTGATCATATTCTGGCTCTCCACTTAAAAATGGAATTGGTGTAAAAAGTATGCAACCATTTATAAGCAAACAATCATTATTACTTAGAGCATTATATTATTATAAATAATATCAAAAACTATAAATAGGCCAGTGGAGCCTAAAAACTGAAGTGGTGCAAAGATGTACCATGGGGCAAGAAGTAAAAACCATTTTAAAGGCAGCAAGTTGAACACGTAGGAGAAAGGAAAGTAGCTTTAGTGGAGTGCACAGTGAAGTCCTGCATGGATATGATAACTTGAGAACCAAAGGGAACACACCTCATTTTTTATTTTTTGAGGACATGGCTTTTTTATTTAGATATGACATGGAAATTGTGAGGAAGGTTGGGCTCTCTTCTTTCCCTGCAACCTGCTAAAACTTGTGCTGGGAGGCCAGCTTCCTTCATTACATCTGTACATTCTACTTCCATGTAAAATATTTTAACTAAAAAAAAAGGGGAGATTTTGCAACTAACCCAAAGTTTACAAAGAAGAGTCAACATTCTAATCTTTTATTGCCTCCTGCTGTTATCACAGCTTACTATATGTAGTTTTTATATCTTTGTATACTTTAAAAAGCTTTAGCATATAGAAGGGATATACTTTGTCTTGTATGAGCACAGAAAAATGCTTTTAATATTTTCTGAAGATTTTTGATGGTGCAGAGGTGTACCTGTGAACTCCAGGAAACCAAAAGCAGTTTTGAAAACTGTTCTGCGCAGAATCTGAATGCTGTGTGCCCTCTAGAGCTCTCTGGGGGAAGCTCTGGTAGTCAGCTTGTCTTGGTCTGAGATAGCTGCTGATCATGAGTCCCTTGATGTATTCAAGCGCTCAGAGCATCTGTGTGCTCTGAAAGTCCACATTCTAAATCACATCTACACAGCAGATCTGATTAATGTTCTAGCTCACCATAAATGTACCCTTCTGATTAGCAAAGTGGCTGATAATAAAATGCAGATAAATGCAGTAATAGTTTCTCAGTCTAAAAATGAAGTAACTTTCTGACTTGGATGATGGTCTTGAAACACAGAGCAGAAATTGGTTTGTAGAGATCTGAGCCTTTTGTAGTTCTCTTTCTTTTACCCAGGCACAGCTGGGTCCTGCCCTTGCCCAGGTAAGTCCAGAAAGAAGAATGTAGGGAGAGACAAGGGTAGGAACAGCCAGAGGTGATTATCATTTACAGCTACAACACCAAACTGTGGTGAGCAGAGGAATGAACACTTCCTGGCTGAAAAAAGATATCAAAAGCCAACCCCCCCATGTTTATGGGGTATTTCTCAGCTTGGTTCATGCTCTGACCTCAGGAGGTTGTGGTCACACATCTCCACTTGCAGTGGCTGAACCAGCAGCAGAGCTGAGTGCAGCCTGCCTAAGCATTTGCTGCTGCACTCCTGCCAGATTGCTGCTCATCTTTTACTGTCCCCAGGGCTGCACCCAGGCATTGTTCCTTTATTCTGTGTATTTTTTTCTTTGGCTTCGCTGCTTCATTTGGCTTAAAATACTTTAAAAACCACTGGCTACTCCTCCTGAGCTGGGGGTGTAGGTTGTGCTGGAAACTGGGGGTGGTAAATTGCAGCAGCGAGTGGCTGCTTCCGTGCTGTGGCTTTTCATTTCTTCTGAGCAACCTCGGAAGCAGCAAGGGCTCTGCCCAGGGCATGTGCACCTCTGCTGCACAAAGCTGTCTCAGACGGCATCAGGAACTGGAGTCAAGTGAGCCGAAGGTGCTGTTTTCCATGGAAGTGCACTTGAAAGTGCAGAGCGCCTGCTCTGGCTGCTTCCTGAGGTGTGGGAACCTCAGCACAGAATTGCTTATAAAAAGTGCCCCTTGCCCTGGCTTCTCCAGGATTTTGCAACATTTAGCCAGCCAGAGAAGGGCTGGATTTCTGTCGCAAGTTTCGTTGCTTTCCTACCGCAGTTTTCTCCTTGAGCTGCCACGCAGTGCCCGTGCTGCTGCTGGGGCTCACCTGCCACCCACGCACAGCCGAGCCTTTGGAACCTGCCACCAGCCCGCAGAGCAGCTGCAGCCTCCTGCACCGCCGTGGAGCTCATGAAAATGTGCCTTGGGAAGGTCTTTTAATCTTCATGGCCATGAAAGTGCAGCTTGTCTACAACCCAGCAGAAAGTCAAAAAAAAAAAAAACCCACCAGCTCCAGAATTTTACTAGCCCTTATCTGCTACTCTTGGTATTTTATTTCCTCTTGGAAGTTATTTTGTATCCATGCTTAGTGAAAATATATTTCTGCTACAGTCTCTGTATTTTAAATATGGAGCATTAAATGAATCATCCTATGGTATCAGCATGACATTCACCACTCTTATTTACTCTTATGATTAAGATAAATGGCTTTGTTTCTTGGTTAATTTTATCCATTTCACTTCAAGAGTTTCCTCAGAACCTGAGGTTCAATCCCTTGGGATTGCCTGTCTAAACTTAAGGAAGTATAATTGACAAACTCCTACAGCTTCCAGTTTTTCTGGTGGTTCAAATAAAGAATTCTGTATTTTCTGTTGAAATCAAGAAGTATTCTTGCTGTAACAGGTTGCTGGTTTTCTTTTTTCAGCCTTGCAGTTTGCTTTCTGGTCACGCATTAATTATATTTAAATTGGTTTAAGTTGATTAGGCAATGAAGTCTAAGCTTGCACAAGAGATGAATCTTTCTTGATAACTTGGGTTGATCAAGGAGATTTAGGGGCTTGTGCTAATTGTATCTCAGTTAATTATCTGGAAGTCACTTTCCACCATGACAGTGTATCAAGTGAATCAGCCCTAGTTGCAAGTTTGTTCTGTGAATTTGGAACAAGCCCTTATGTGCACCTAAGTCCTGTATGTCTTTACCATAGAGACTGAAAGAAAAGAGTTTTCCCACCAAAAAATTATAATTTTAAATGTTCTCAAAAGACCAATTTTTTTCCCAAGATGTGAATGTTTTTAAAAGGAATCTTTAAGGGAAAAAAAAAATTGAAAATTCATGTCAGGTGTCTGCTACAAAGTGTTAGAGAAAACAGAATGTGCCGTCTAAAGACTTTGTGAACTTTGAGACTTTTGAACTCAGAAGACTTTGAGCACCTGGTTTTGCAGTTCTAAACCTATTCAACTATTCTGATTGCATTTTTTTCTGAAGCTGAATTTAAAATTCTTGAAACTGTGAGTGAGTGAGGTTTAGGGCACATGGCAGTCTTCATATAATCCCCAAAAGGGTCGATTTGGATTTTGTAGGTGAAAAGTGGTAAAATTCATAAAGGCTTCTTGTGTAAGCATTTTAAATTAATTTCTGCCAGAAAGCACTTGGAGATTGTGTGTCACTGCCCTGGTGCTCTCTGCTTGTGTTACCAGGAAGGAAGAGAGCTGGAGCCTGGTGCAGGACCAGATCTGTGTTCTCACATTCAGAATAAAGCCTCAAGTTCTGGTGTAAAGTTTGACATTGCTTTTTCTTCCTAAGCAGGTGTGAAAGCAAAGAGCTGGATGTTGAAATAAGAAACCTGATAGGGAAGAGCAGCACTTTGGAGTCCTGTGAGGACCCCAAACCTCTTGCCCAAGAGAGGCTGAGCCCTCAGAGAACTTCGTGTTCCCTTAAGGTAATCACAGTGTGCTTTTGCAATGTTTATCTGCCAGGAAAGAACGTTCAGGGGATGTTCTCTGTGGGACTTGACTGTGCATGAAACTTTAGGATTTCTGAAATGATGCAATGAACTTGCTACACATTTTTTTTTCCCTGATATAGCTACTTTCTGGTATGAGGAAGAGTGACTGAGAAGGTGCATTTTATAGTGCTTTAAAAGATCAGCTAAACCCACTGTGTGTCAAACCCTGTAGCCAGATGTGCCTTTTGGATAACACAGATCCTTGGAACTGTGTAACCCCCAAAATGATGTCATTTTTTATGCATTTTGACGTTCTGATTTAGGTGGGAATGAGTAGATGTGTGGTACACAGAGACCTGTGGAAGTGTCAGAAAGGCTTTTAGATTAATAGGAAGAGAGGAGAAGGAAAATGATGATGATGATTCAAACCCATATTTCTGTGGTATTGCAAACAGAAAATCGTAAGCCACCTGCTAAGGCAATTGTCTTTGCCTGCAGTGAAGCAGTGGTTAACAAGCCTGACAGAAACTTGTTCTGGGTTTCCCTCTCAGTTTCACTCCTCTCCCCTGAAATAGCGAGAATAGAAGGAATTTCCCCGTTTTCCACAAACTGGGAACAGGAGGAGGGAGTGGTGCAGAAGAGAGGAGTGATTAACCCGTGAATGATCCACCTGCAAGGGATGACACCCTTACCTGTGTGACTCCAGCACGGGATGGGGAAAGGAAAACTCTGAAGGCCGCACGCCGAGGCACGGTGCAGGAAATTGGTGAGGAGGTAAAAGGGAGATGACTCTCTTCTACGAAATCCGAAATTACACACAGCTCCTTTCACATGCAAACCGCCATCCCCAGAATGACTCATGACCTCGGGGCACGGAGCTGAGCCGAGCCTAAGGAGACACCGCAGGGTCAGAGCAGTGGGATTAGAAACGGTGAGAGAGAAGCCACAGGGAGGGATGGGGATTCCCGGAGGCGGGGGAGAAACAAGCGTGGCGAAGCACAAGGCGGCGCAGAACCAAACTGTGAAATTACAAGCCACAAATGATCCATGGAAACACCGGGTTCCACGTGTTAGCCTCTCTCCAGCAGGGGACGTAGGAAAGGATTTGGGGGATGTGGGCAATGTGAGGAGGAAAGAGAAAGGATGAGCTCGCCTGGACCCTTTCTGAGATGTGCTGCAGCGCTTCACACAGGAGACTGGCAGTATTTAATCTGTGGTGCTTTTATGCTCTTTGCATTTATAGCACTTCTTGCCTGTAAAGTGTGTGTGTGTGTGGTTTTCAGAGCTTCAAGAGGGACATTTCATGGTATTTCTGCACTAGACAGATGCTGGCTGGTTTTTATTTATATTTCTAAGTCAGGCAACTTTTCACTTGGCTGGTTATTGAGCTGGGCTTCAAGTGAGTGACAGCTTGACAGTCTTGTTGAGCTTCAACAACCTCAGTGTAAGGTGCTAGGAGTACCTGTCTTGGATTGTGTGTTTTGGGGAAGGAGGTCATATTTTTAACACTTAGTAGACTTTATGAAGATTATGAAATAATATTTAAAAAAAAACAAACCCATATCAGAAAATAACCGTTTGTGAAATTACGCTGATTAGGACTTAAAATGAAGGGCAAATGAAATGTTTAAGAGTTAAGAAAAAGTTAATAATGAAACAAAAGTGTACCCTTCCATAAATGTCAGTCATTCATCAGGAAGTTATTTGTCAGAGACAGCAGGTCGTTTTCATTCTGTAACTTTTTTTCTGGAGTGAAGAGTACAAATTGCACTCTGCAGAAGGGCATTTCCATCTGAACTTAAATGACTTTCAAGAGTAATCTATAAGTGTCTGTAAACAAATTCCCCTTTTTGCCACGATTTTTTTGCCATAAAAATTCATGAACTTCTGAGCACATCCTTCAGTCAATGATTCCTTCAGTTGCAGCTTGTCCTGATGCTGCATTCTCCATTCCAGGAAAGGGAAGATATTTGCATTTTTTAGATTTGCAAATTGTCATCCAGTTATTTTCACATGGAACTTGGATTTTCATCAGCAGGCTTGGCTTTGCAAATGCTTAGGTACTTGGGAGGCCATGCCCTTATGGTTAGTGGAGAAAGGAAATCCTGAAGCAGGAGCCTGTGCTCAAATATTTTGATTTACTCTGAAACCACGTCTTGTTCTAATTTTATCTGCTTCCCACATATTAAGACACAAATTTGCATCTGTACCTATTTTTCTGTCAGAGGGAGCATGTAACTGAGCAGCACAAAAGGCTGAGGCTGACAGGGAAAATTCCCTTACTGAAGGGAAAATCCCTTCCTAGCACACCTCTCTGGTGAGCCACAGGGGCCAGGCTGGGGCAGGAAGAGGCAGATTCTTCTTCTGGTTCAAGAGCCAATTTTATTCTTCAGCTAAAATCCTAAAATCTCTCATTTTTTACCACTTTACCATGAGCCTTAGAATAGGAAAATGGATATTGTGGCAAACACTGCTGGCATAATAGCTTCAGCAATAAAGCCAAAAACAAAGCTCAGCTGAAACATAAGCAAAGTGAAGGCTCCCCAAAAGCCACCAAATTTTAACCCAAGTAATCTCAGAGTTAATCTAGCTTCTATAAGTCTGTAACTGAACAATAAATTTAAAAAAAATCTAATAAAAGAAAATCCCCAACAAACCTCACAGCAGATGCATGACTAGCTAGGAAAAAAAAATCTTGGTAATTTTGTAGGATTTTGTTATCATCATGGAAAGCCTCACATTTGCTTACATCAGGGCTTTTAGTGATTCTTGGTTTCACTGCAGTTATTAAACAGAATTTTCAGAAGTGAGAAATGGTTTTCATTATCTAAATTTGAGTGATATTTTGTAATACTGTGACACAAGTAGTTCCCAGAATTAAGATCCAGCACTCTGAAAATGAGAACTTTTATCATCTTGTGGTGCTGAGGCTTGTGAGAGGGTTCAGCTCCAAGGCTCTGCTTTTTCTTCCACTGCAACCTTCCCAAAGATGCCGGAAAGGCCTTTATGCTCAGGCTGCTCAGGTCATCCTAGAATACAAACTAAAATATTTTTCATTTTTCAACAGGACATTAAAAGTAAACAAAGCAACAATCTCAAAGCTGCTACTAATAGAAATTACAGAGTATCATGGAAATAAAATAGAAATTAAAAGTGGCTTCTAGGTTGTTTTAAGATGCCACTTGGAGTTAACTTAGGAAGTGTGAGGGGCAGCAAATTCTCCCATTTACTTCCTGAGAAGCTTCTTTCCATACCTAACAGATTTTTACGTTTGTGACTGCATTTACAGTCTGATTGTCAACTGGAATTTTCCAAGCAATTTGAAACTGTCTGTATTGTTCAATAGTTTCAAACCAAGTATAAATGCTTTAAAAGATTTGTGGGTCTTTTTGAATTCTGAAACCTGATAGGTCTCAAAGTGTCCTTCTTTCAAGGATTTCTGTATATCTCAGGTTTCTGCAGCGCTGTTCTACAACCAAGCTTTTCTTGATAGCAGTATACTTAAACAAATCTAGTGTCTTTACCACTGCCATATCAATGAAAATGAATGTTGTCGTCTCCTTCTCTTTTTTTTGGTGCTATTAACTGTTTTCAGAGACAGGCAATGACTTTGCTTCAACCTCCCAGTTTTTGCTGGAAGAATACCATCATCTCTGAAGAGCTTGAATTTTTGCTCCCTACTCACTGGCATTTCTTCCAGTCATACAGGTTTCAGACATACTCTTGTCTCTCCAATCTGTTTTTACATGGCAACCAGTTATCCCTGTGAATGCTAAGCTGGATGAGACAGGCACTGAAAAGTACTTGAGTCTTAGTTCTATTCTGTCCAATTTTATGTAAAATCATTCACTTTAAGTGACCATTATTGCAGTCATGAAAAAAATCACTAACAAAGGACTTGGTGTTCTAATGTCCAGGTAGCTTTCCAGGAAACTACTCAGCTCTTCAGGAAACCGTTGTGACCTAAATTACAGTATCAACCAAGGTCTCAGCCTCATCCTCTCTTCAAAGTAATTTGAGCATTACTATCTTTCAAGTGGGAGCTGTGATTCATGACTGGGGCTGTGCCCTGGGTTTGCTCCTCTGTCCCCACTGCGGAGACTGCTCAGAGCCTCACTCACCACATTGCAGCGTGCTCTTGTGAGGAAACCAGAAACTGGGGCTGCTTTACCTTGCAGGCCAGGTCATAAAATGCAGCTGTTCAACCTGAGCTTTCTCCAAAAGTGAACGTGCTGCTGGAGTGGGGATGAGACTGGTGAGAGTGGGAGCTGGGGAAGGGACAGTGTCTGGGCTCGAGAGGCATCGCCCTCAAGAGCAGATGTGCAAGGTGGAAGGTTTGTGATTATAATTTTGTTTAAGCAGATGCCCCGGTGTTGGTGCTTTTCTGCACCAGTTTATAGTCTTCAATGCTGTACCTGATATGCTCAATGTCTCGTTTTGGTATAGGTACAGATAAAATTCTTCCAGTTTTTGTTGAGTAGAATGACTCCTGTGTAGAATCTGAAATATCTTCATTAAAATAACCCTTTTTTTTTTCTCTTGATACACCACAAGTTTTCCAGCTGCTCCATAAACCAGGAGAAAAATGGAAAGCACCTCAGGGTAGCAGGACATATTTCATATGCAAATATTATACAACAGTAGCTTTCTTCCAAATTGGGGTTTGTATCTTGCAAAAAGAAGAGTTGCTTAGTCACACATTGTGAACCAGAGATCTGGAATGTGGCTGCAAAATTTCAGCATTTAACAGGATTGCTTTACTTTCTCTAAATCTGTTTTTGGAAATTGAAAGAGGGGTTTCTATTATTTTATATCAAATTTCACAGGCTAGCTTTCATTTCATTCCTTCAAAAGGAAATAAGCAACCTCTGCTGCCACTGCAAAAGCCATAGACCCAGAGATCTTTCCACAATAGGGAGCAGAATTTTTCTTTTATGCTTCCCTCTGAAATCCATTATTATTCAGAACTCCACAACTGAAGATGAGAACACTTTGCACTTTTCTGTTTCATCCTGACTTTGTATAGCAAGTCTGTGGAAGTCTTTTCTTTGTTAATCTTTTCTGTGAGTTTAACTTGGTAGGGTTAACATCTTCCTCCAAATGGGAAACTGAGGCACAGGTTTGGAGTGTTGGGTACCTTTGAGTACCCAAGTCTTGAGTATCTTGAAGCTGGATCCGTGCTCAGATAAGGCAAGTGGCAGAAGTGCAAATAAAATATCTGTCATTTTTCATCTGTGCAGCTTTTCTTTGGGGAAACAAATCAATTTTCCAGTGTTGGTTTTCCCCTAAACATCTTGGGGTTTTTGTATGGGGGTGCTCTTCCCTGTAGCTGTTAACAGACTTTGCTATTGCTCCTTTAGGAGCATGACTCACTCATTTTTCTGTTCTGATAGTTCACTCTTAATGTCAATAATTGTTGTAATTACTGAGGTCCTTTTTTATAACTGGAAGCAGGGATGGAAAGCCTGTCCTCTTATTTACTGAAAGAGCAAATACCCTTCCTTCCCTTACATGCAACTTCCTCTCTGGGGGGAACTGGCCAGGCAATTGTGATTTCCATGCACACAAAGCAGAGAGCTGCCTTGCCTGGCACATTAGTCATAGGCATTGTGCTTCATCCATTCTGGGAAGCCCCAGCCAGGAAGGAGGAAAAGGTTAAAATCAGAATTCCACCACTACTTTCTGGACTGTGGCTGCTTCCACAGGCAGCACTCCTGGATCTTCTGGGTCTGAAAGAAATTCTCCTGATCCTTTAGCCAACGTAAAATCTGTTTCATTGCTCTTCTTCCTCCAAAGAGCCACGGTGAAGGAAACGCTCTAGGCTGGCTTGGATGCACCTGGGCAGGTGGGAGTGACATGGAAGCTCCAGCAGAACCATTGCAGGTAAGTGGCTGTGTTGGCTGTTTTCTGAAATGTTGTCTGAGTAACAGGAGCTGGTACAGGTCTCTTTGTAGATTGACAATTATGGGCTGACCTTTGTGCTCTACTAGATTTTTCTGAGTTATTTAAACTGCGTAAGAGTGGAAGGAAATGTTAGAAATATTTTTGCAGATGGCATTCTTAGAAAGAAGACCTTTCCTAATGGAGTTTTTTGCCCACCAAAAGTTGCACAAAGGGTGCAAAATGGTTCACTTGAGTGGCCCCACAACTTCTGTGAGCAGTATTTGGGCTAGTTGGTGCCAAGTGTATGTGTAGTTGTTAGATTTGTGAGTTGTCCTGTTCACTTTATTACTATTCTTAAACATGCTCTTCAATATATGCCTAAGGCCCAGATGCTGAAAGCAATTCAGCATGGGAATAACTCCATTAGCTGCCAGGTATTGCTTCAGATACTCTAAATTAAACATGTCAGTGAGCTACAAGAAGAGGGATTAAGTGTTTTCTGGCTTGGAAGTCAAGGGCTCCACATCAGAGTTCAGCAGGACTGGCCATGGGGCAAATATGTGGTTGGGTTTTTTGCCTTTGAAAAGACAGTAAAACTGTCCTTTGATCTTCATTGGTATTCAGCATTAAATTCTGTATCTACAGAAAATTTATTCCAGACCTCAGAAGTGCTCACACCATTATTCTTGTTTTTCATATAGTGGTTGAGAATTTAGGGAGGAAAACAAAAATCGCTGAGCATGTATCTGACCAAAGTATGTTCTATTTTCATGAGGCTCTCTCTTTTTTTCCAGTACAGCTCTCTCTCTCTCTTGCTAATAAATCACATGTTTGTTTTCATGACAATCCATAGATACTTCTTGGAAATTATGAACTAGAACACTGCCATTATAAAAATTAGGGTCTAGCTGCTGCTGTCCCGCTTGGGTGAAACTCCTCACTTAAAAAAAAAATGGAACAATTGCAGACTGATCTTCTAAATTTCTCCAAATGGCCTATTTGTTTTCTGTATTGCTTGTTTTGAGCCCATTGTGCTAAAGTTTATCACCTTGGGCCTGCAAGCACTTACCAGGGGCAATCCTACTAATTATTCTAGTTCTTGTAAATGAGGGGAATTACTTACACCCTCTCCAAGTCATGCTCAACTTTTGTGGCTTGTACTGCTTGTTTGTATTGCCGTCTGCAAGATAATTAAAATCCTCTTTCGTGTTCTGTGTCTCAGATGGTACAAATAGATACAATTTTGGTTATTTCAGTGACTACTTGCATAATGCTTCAATTAAAACACAGCCTGAGTGGGTTTAAAGCAGATGCATGCTCCAGAATCAGCTGCCAGCAGGTGTGAAGGTATTTAGATACAAATTTGGTGTAAGAAAAATGTTTGTTTCAGTTTCTTTATGTGCACCTGTCAGGGTGGATGGGAGCTTTACATGAGAATCTTGAAGAGAACAGGCCAGAAGCATTAATTTTTGAACATTGTTTTTCCCCAGTCAAGGCACACATTACTGAGCAAAAAGAAGCCTTTATCTTCCAGTTCTCTGGAGCAACAGATCTTCACACTGGAAAGACAGAGACGAGAGGTAATCCTAAATATACCCTTAAGCACCTGATGACTGATTGTACCATGCCTATGAATCTGGAAGAGCAGAGGTTTATTTAGTACAAAGGGCAAATTTGATTAATGACCACTATTGCTAAAGGCCAAGGAACAGCAAGCAGGGTTTGCACTCAGCAGTATCACAGCCAGTAGGAGTCTTCCATTCATTTGTTTGAAGTCAAAGACCTTCTAATTGGAAATATGGTCATGGAACTTGTAGCAAACTAGCAGGAAAGTCCTTGGCCATTTAGGAGTTGTAGCTTGGGATTTGTGCAGTGCTGGAAATGATCCACCTGTAGCTTGTTGTGTATTTGCATGTTTCCTGAGTGCTGCTTCCTGAATGTTCATGTGCTTTAACCGAAATACCAAAGCACTGGCAGATGGGTTGCAAGGCTTGCCAAACCTTAAACTTGCTTCTTCTGAAATAAATGAACTGGCCAGATGATGAGGAGGTTGGGAACACTCACTGACAGAAGATTAGAATGCCAGTCTGTTTTTGATTTACTGAAAATGTTGAAATAAGTGTTATTTACTGTGCCTTCCTGGTAATTACAGCTTTTGGAGGTGAACAAGCAATGGGATCATCAGTTTAGAAGTATGAAACAGCTTTATGAAAAGCAGGTAACAATGCTGACAACTTCTGCTGCAATATGTGTGCCACCTGCTGACAGTTAAGTCTGTGTTTAAATACCAGCCATAGCCATGGTAAATATCTTACTTTGTCTTGAGCTCATAAATTGAAAAAGCTTCATCATATAAAAGCAAAGCCAATGTGTGTCAATCTTCAGTAGGACAAACTAACCAGAAAAGCAGTTTAGGTGTCCCTAAAATAGTAGGGACCAGTGTGGACATGACAGCAGAGATCTCCATGCCCTCCACACTGTAGTAAAAAATGCACATAACTGAGAGCACAATCAACTGAAAATCAGCCTGGTGTGCCCAGCCCCTGATCCACACCATCACATATATGCTGGTTCTTGTCCCATCTCTTGTGAAGTCTGGGTAAATTCTCCATGAAAGTTGCCCTCTGTAAGCAGAGACTCTCAAAATGAATAGAGAAATATTTTGATTTCTGGGTTTTTTTCCATCCAAGATCCAATTGACACAGCTTTTATTCCTTGCTTATGGCTGTGTGGTGTTGTTGCTGCAGACATTACCATCAACTGCCTAGTGAAGTTCAGTGCTTGCAATTTTGTCTGGTATTCCAGAACCCAAGCTGGTTCATTGACTGACACTTCTCATCTACTGTTTCCTGCTATGAACAGGAAGTTTATAAAATGAATTCATGTGCTTATCAGGAAAATTTTCTCTCTAATATTTTCCAGAAAGCTTTGCTGAGATCTGAATCATTCCTTTCCTTTTTCTCCCAAAGAGAATAGGAATCCAAATGGCTCTTCCTCATTTAATCTGGAACTGTTTTATGGCTCTGGCTCAACACCCTGAAGGGTGCTGTGCCTTTCAGAATCCCCAGTGAGCCCAGCATGGTCTGTCACTTGCTTTTCAGCTGACAGAGATGAAGGCAAAGCTGGACGTGTCGGAGAGGAGAGTGAGCGAGCTGGAGCGGGAGAGGCACCAGCAGCATCCGGAGGAGGGGAGGTGGCAAGTGCTGGGCAGAGAGAGGCTGCTGCAGGAAAAGGTAGGAGGGTGCCCTGTGGCACCCCTTTTGTGCTCTGTGCTGAGCTCTCTCTTGCCTTTCATCTTTCTCTCCTTGTGTGGGTTGTGCAGAGCCCAGAGGTGAGACTGTGGCTCCTCAATATCCTACCCAAGGCTGCTGAGCTGCCTCATCACAGAACTGTGTGTAGAGAAAGAGTCATTTCCATATGACTGGCAGACAGCACAACATTAGTGTGTGTGTGGGGGGAGTAAGGAGCAGGTTGATTTCTACACTGCACAGATTTCCCTCCTCACAGTTCAGTTCAGGGTGAATTTCTTTGTGAAGGAAAATGCTGCGGTTATTTCAAATGGAAGAGGAATAGCAGTCCAGATGTTACACCAAGTGCTTGGCAAGAAATACTCAAGGAGTGAATGCAGCTCCAGTCCCCCAGGTTTTGGTATTGACAGTACAGGCTCTCATCCATGTGCAGCTATCTCAGCTCCCTGCAAATATTAGTGCCACAGTCAGTGCAGTTATCAGGGCTGGAAGTGTCTGGGCTGATCAGCTGCTCCAGAGTGGGGTTCACCTCACCCTCAGAGTGGTTGGGCTGCCCTTTCAGGACTCCTTGGGCACTGGCTCTTGTGGTGGGCTTTTGCATTTCAATTTAGATCCCTGAGCTGGATTCCCACCTTAGTAAAACCACCAGCCTGAATGATGGGCACCTACACAAAACTTTGTGCTCCATTTTAGACACCCCACAGAATGGTGCTTCCTGTTCTCATTCTGCTTCATGGTATCATGTACTTCATGACCTCTAGTGAGAGTTTCTGGATGATGCTGATGGCTGAAGTTGGGCTTCTCTACTCAGGTGGTAACCTGAAACAAGTGGCAAATGCATCACTCCCAGGCTCAGATGAGATGCAAGTTAGCTGCTGCAGGAAAAGAAATGCAACCTCCTTAGCTTACATCTGCATAAGCAGAACATCCACCTTAGTTGCTTATCAATTAGTCCCAGCCAAGCACATACTTGATTCCAAATCCATAGAGCAATTTACTTCTTTTAAGACAAACTGTGTTATGCACTTGCTGAATCACTGCCTGTATTTGCTCTGATTGTTGATTCAGTGTGAGACAGTCCATATTTTTGTTCATGTTACTGCCTTTTAATGTAGGATACCTGGGAAAATAACTACAATTTTATAAAAAATAAGGATCAGTAGTACACTCTCTCAGATTTTTTTTACTGCATGCATGAATAATGAACTAAATGACAATACAGTCCAAATTTTTTTGTGGGGACAGGTTAACCAGCATTGAACTTTGGTCTTAAATCTGCAATTTCTTTTAAGTTACACATTCAGCCAGTGCTTGTCAGCTTGAGCTGGCTGCTGGATTAGTTCCTGTACTTGTTGCAGAGATACCCTGCTAATCTTACCTGGTTTTTGGAGAAAATGCAATGTCCCAGCTACCTTAGAACACGGCAGAGTCAAGCTTCCTCACAAGCAAGTTACTCAGGGGTGTTTTTCACCGGCTCAGTTAGCACCCCGTGGTGAACTTCTGATGAGCCCAAACTGCAACTGGCTGCACAGAGATGAGCCTTTTACACAGAAAAAACCCCATTCCTGTGGTGTGCTGTGCCTGTGATTGTTGGATCTCACTTTTTTATTCACATAAAGCAGCTGCAGAAAATATTTGAAAAACTTTTTTTTTTCTGTTTTGTTCTTCAATGTTGTATGGCACTGGGAATGGCTGAGCCTCCACCAGCATTTAGCCCTGGTCATATTTTCTGAGTACATAAGAGAAATGCAGGTCTGGGGTAATTGTGGATGTCATTTTGATCTGCTTGGCCTGCCAGCATTCCCATGCCTTCGTGCAACTGCAGAGAGCAGGGATTTAGTCTGGTATGTGGTCTCTGTCTCATCATATGGTGAGTGGTCAAAACAATTTTTACAGACTTTATCATATCGGGGTGTGCCAGTGATCTGCCTTCCTGCTGCCTCCCCTCCCAACTGTGTTTTGGACAGCAAAAATGCAGCACATCTGTCAGACAGAAGATTATTCTGAAAATTGTTTTTGAAAAATGCTTCCATCTGCATTTCTGCAGCATCTCTCTGTATTTTTGGTTCCCAGAAAGATACAGAGGTCCTTAGTGAAGCTCTCCATGAAATGAAGGAAGAGAACAGGCTCCTGAAGCAGAAGAATGCTTCCATGACCAGGAGGAAGGAATACTATGAGAGTGAAATAAGTCGTCTCAACAAGGTAGGAACAGAAGTGAGCTACTGATTCCTCTAATTCTGCAATCTCTGTTGTCACTGACCTACCAGATACCAGCTTTTCAATTCTGGGTGAACAACCTGGTGGCAAACACATGATCACCATTTGGCAGCTGGGGAAATGAGCAAGAACTCGCATCAGCTCAGACCTGTGCATGCAGGGTCTAATTCCTTGGCAGGTAGCAGGGTTGCATTGCAAGGAGAAAAATTCAGGGAGTATTTGGCTTCTCCTAGGAAACCTCTCTACATGTCATGTCTAAGTCCTTTCTACACCCTCCCTCCTCAGAGCAAAGAGAAAATGGCACAAAGATGCTTCTGTATGCACCTGGTGAAAGACCGTGGTTGAAAAGAAAGCTCACACAGCTTAAAAACTCGTTTAACATGTATTCTGTGTTTGAGAATGATGGCTTCTCTTCAGAAGACATGGTCCTGTCCTATTGCTTATATCCATATACACACATATTCATACCTGTAATATTATGTGTGTATATGTCTCACTAAGGAAATTGTCATTAAATATCTACATGGATTTTTTTTTTAACTGAGGGAAAGTAATAAATGTAATTTTGTTTAATCAAAAGATCACATAAAGTGGTGGGTGTTTTCTAACAATTTTGTATTTAATGGTGAACCACAAACACTTCCTGAGGAAATGCATTGCAGTAACCATTGCTGTGTAACTTGAATAAGTGCTTTAATAAGCTAAAGGGCCATGATGTGCAAAAGTCAAGCCAAAAACATAATGCTGCCATAAGAAAAAATCTGACAGAATCCATGATCTCTAGCTCCTTTTGAAATGCATTGACAGGACTTGCTCCAAGCTCCAGTCTAACTTTAATTCAATGCCTTGTTTGTTAAACAACTTATTTAAATGTTTTATTTTGCTGTCTTATGGTGTGGCTGTAATAAGACAGATGGGTATTTTGACCATTCTTTTAAATGAAGCATAAAATTCATATACACTTTCCCAACAGTAATTTACTGATTTTCTGTGCATTTGCATCCTTCAAATCTCATGTCATGAGTACACATGAGACAGGAAGGGGACCCTCTGTGCCCTTTTAACTTTATTCCCCTGCTGCTTCAGGTTCAGCTACTTGAAATTATTACAAATTCTCTGAAATCAAACAACTTTTTTAATGTGAATGGATAAAGAAGGATCTCACAGTATTGTGTCTAAATGCAGTTTAAAAATAACCTTCCCCTTAGGATAAACTTTTTGAAGATTGAATTTTCCGGATTTTTCCTTTTTTTTCCCTTCCATTCTGAGTTGTAGAATCTGCTCACTTAGGATAAACTTTTTGAAGATTGAATTTTCCGGATTTTTCCTTTTTTTTTTCCCTTCCACTCTGAGTTGTAGAATTTGCTCAAAAAAGTATTGAAGGGGGATTCAAAGGGGCACAAGAAGGGTTAATCAGTAATCAGGGTGTCTGTATTTTCACCCTCCCAGTTTTAGGTTCAACCTTCTCAATGTATTGGCATGGAACACAAGCTTTGCCACTATTATAACCAGTTCATTTCTGCACAATTCTTAGGGACAGCAGCTCATCTGATAAAAAGCTTTCCTTTTCTATGCTTCCATGCAAAGTGCTTGGTTTTGTTGGGCCTTGTAATTAATATCAATCCTTGGATTACTTTGGGTACTGGTTCTCCTGCTTGGCCACTTCTTCCCCGTTTGCCTCTTCCTGCAAATATCTTCCATCCTTCCCACGTGAGTGTGGGCAGCAAGGGAGAGCTGAGGATCATCAGCATGAATTCAGCTTCTAAAAGGGATGAAGTCAGGGATTCGTATCTTATGTGAGAGAATGAAGAGTACTGAATGGTATTTGTGCTAGAGTAAAGAAAATAATACATAGCTATAATGTGTGGATATAGAGAGAGAGATGTAGGAGTGATTTAATTATTCCAGTCCAAGGGAGAGCTGTGTAGTACTGTAAAAGTAGAGTCTGCGAAGAACTGTGGCAGAATTTCAGTGTAAAACAGGTAAGAGTGGTGCCAGTGTTGTGTGTATTCGTAACTCCCTCTAGTGACAAGCTACGGAGACTACACACCTTCCTCTCAAACAGGGGGTTTGCTTTGTTCCACGTGAAGGAATCCCTACTTTTAGTGCAAAAAACATTTCAGTCAGACTTTACTGTAGTAAAGTGGGTTTACAGCCAATGTATATAATTGAAGCAACTACAGGTGAAGGGGAAACCTCTTTCTAATAATTTTAAAGGATATTTTTTTTCTTTTTCATGTACTGAATCTCTGTTTAGTAATTTTGCTGTTTGATGTTGCAGGCCCTTCTGGACGCACTGAAAAAGCAGCAGCCACCAGTTGTTGGGACTCCTCCAGGGAAGGGTGACAGGAACAGCATTGAGGAGATGAGAACCCAACTTGAAGTTCTTAAACAGCAGGTAAGAACAGCTCAAGTGGGCCTGGATGGATTTCACACCACATTATTTTGCCTTCTCTCTCACGCATTGTGCTTGGTAGACTTGCTGTGTAGAGCTTCTGTAAGGAAGAGCCAGTTTAGCTACAGCCCTTTGGAATGATGTTTCCCCAGATGTTTTCTGTCATCACAGCAGAGTCCACAAAGTGAAACTGACTCTGGGCAAAGGACTGGAGCAAGGACTTGTGGAGGACTCAAAGCAGCAGAATGGCTCTCCTGACTCCTGGAGGTGTCCTGACAGCTCTCTGTTAGGGGCTGAATGACATCCAGAGGGAATGCTAAATTTCGTTAATTACTGGTTGTGTTTTCTGATCCTTTTATCTTAGAAGTTGCCAGTGTAGAGAATTATCCAAAGACCCTAGCCTTGAAAACTAGAGCATTGGCACTGCAGTTTTTCTATGTGTGAGGCAGACCATTTGCATCCATAACCTGCATCCCAAGGACTACAGATTTGTATCTATTTTTTAATCTTTGTCCTGAGCAATTCAAATGCTTTGTGAGCTGTTTTTCTTTCCATATGAAAGAATCTGTTTAAAAACAATATAGTTTTCAGATAATTTTAACACTTCAGGTCTGTTGTCCTGGACAGTGTCAGGGTTAATATTATTGACACACAAATGGATGTGATCAGAATGGGAATTTTATTCAATGGGAATAAAATACTTGTTTCTGTCACGTTTGACAGCAGAGCCAGATTTTGCTCTCTAATGTAATGCTTGCCACATGCTGGAGAACAAAATCCTGCACTTGATTGTATAGTAATGAGTTATTTCATTCTACACAATAAAATAGAGTAAACCAGTTTTTTTTCCCAAAATTCTCATGGGGTATCCATTTTATGAATGTGTTTTTCTAGTTGTATAAATCAGTACAGTGAGTCCAGACTTCCTTCCACACAAAATGGAGCAGAAGGCTCTAACTGGATGGAGGAGGGACTCTTGGGACAAAGAGTGACGTGACAGAGTCCCACAGGAGCTTGGCTGTCATCAGCCCATCCCTGGTCACAGCAGTGGAGATGAAGGCATTCATTCCTTGGAAAGTGTCCCCTCTTTCTCAGGGCAACAGGATAAATGGCAAAACTGTGCCAAAGAGGTTCCCTTGCAGCTCCAGCAGATTGTACAGCTGGGGAATGGGAGGGAGGTGGGACAGCAGAGAAGGAATTGGGAGAGAAGAAATGAGGAAATACTGAGGAGAGAAATGTGCAGATGGACAAGGGATGCAGGGGTTTCAGCAAGTGACAGTTTTGTCTCCGCTTTGGAGGGTCAGGAATAGAATTTATAGAGCCCTGTGCTGACCTTTTTCTTCCCCTGAGGTATTGACATTTTTCTAGTCCTTCTGTGAAGTCATAGTGCTGCTTCTAGCAAAAAGAAAATTGAATCTGTCCAATGGGCAGAGAATGAGCCATAGCAAGCAAGTTTTTTTGGGAAGACACTATCAGCAGGCTTTAGTGAGCAACCAAGAGGACATGAAAGGGCTTCTGAAAGTTATCGTGGTGGTTCCCACCCAAACATGCCTTTACTGTTGTTTGTCAGTAGAAGTGCCACCAACCTCCAGCTTCTCACCAGGTGGATGCCTGCCCATTAGCTGAAGAATTAAGGCAGATGTCTTAACACCAAATAATTTATGGATTTGTGTTTTGTTTCCAAATCTGTGTGCTCGCTGCCTGTGCCTGGGGTGGTCAGATATTTTTTAATGGGAAGAAGCTCTGTGATTCCTGACCACATAAAAAAGAACTAAGCCACTGCATCCTTCAGCATTTGCAAGGCAGCTTATTTTCTAGGAACAGGGTAAAACATCTGTATTTCCACTGGGAGTTGTGTACATTCCATTCCATTTGGAATTGTGTACATTATGCTCCCCTCTGCCTCTACATTGGGCTGGGGAGGTTCTTCTCTAACTCCTTGCACCTGAGATATACAGGAGGGAGTTAAAAGGGCCCGTAACTGAAGAGAAGACTGGAAAAAAGTTGGTAAAATGTTTGTCCTCCTACTGCTAATCCCTTAAAAAGATGGATACTCATATTTGCTATCTCATCTGTAATATTTGCAGCTGATATTTGCCAGTCAGCTTTTTGATGTGCAAGGTTGTACAAAAACTGGCACTGGGGACTGTTTCAATTTTAAATTTTGGTTTCAATTGATGAGTGCCACTGGAGCATGGCCATTAATTGTCACTTTGTATCAGTCACAAAAAAAAGACCAGGGAAACTTTTGTTTGCAGGATTGTACAGAGCAGGGATCCCCTTGGAATTCACCCTTCTGCTTGGGCAGTGTTTAGAAAGCAGCCAAACCACGAAGTGGCTGTGCTGAAGTTCACACACCGTTCATGATGATTGCAGGTCCAAATATACGAGGAAGACTTCAGGAAGGAGAGATCTGACCGGGAGAGGCTTAATGAGGAGAAAGAAGCATTGCAGAAAATTAATGAGAGATTGCAATCTCAACTGAGTAAACTCAGCTCTCAGGTATGAGTCAAAAGAAAGCTCCCATTGCCAGCACATGTGTATTTTATTTTTTTTTTTCTCACTTTCCACACAACTCAAGGCTTTCTGGCTTCCATTAATTGACATTGGATTTTATATGAGGTCACCACCTGGGATGAAATCATTCTGAAGTAATGCAGTAAGAAGATGAGAAACGATTGGAGAAGACTTCCAAAATAAGGGAGTATTTATTGCAAAAACTTTTCAAACATATCTGAAAATGGAGGAGGGGGAGGGTGGACACAACCATAAACAAATCCAGAGGACTTTGATTGTTTCACTGGCACATGATATAAGAGCTGTAAGATCAAACCAACCTTTGAAATAAAGAGCTTCTGTAGTTAATCCTGACCTCTGCAATTGAATTACGGAGTGATGTTAATATCAGTGTGGAAAAAAATGCTCTCCATACAAATTAGCTGAGCAGCCTCTGCAATAATTTTTTCTTGCAACATCCTTTTTATCTGTTCAAAGTAGTGTCAGTAGGAAGCCATAGTAAAATCATGGCATGCAAAACTCTGAGCTTTCTCAATCCCCAATTAAGAATGACGAAATTCCGAGGTTTCCTCTCTTGACGAAATTGTGCAATGCTTTAAAAGAACGGCTGATTACCAAAATGCTCTGTAGTGATTTATTGTCCTCCCCAACATTGTTGTGACACAGAAACTTCAGGATTGTCTTATTCTCAACTAAGACATGCATCAGAGGTGATAGGGTCTTGCTGAAGTGTCAGAGGCCAGGTGCTGCCCAGTGCCCCTCGCTCTGGCTGGTTTCAGTGGTGTTGTCCTTGTCTGTCCTTGCAGTGCACCAACAGTTCACACTGGAGATCTTCCTGTTTGTCTCTTTCTGCCTTGGGATTTGATTAAACAGAGCTTGTGGAGGATTTTAAAGATGAGAGCAAGCATATAAAATATTTATTGGTTTGTTTTCTTAGGTCAAATTATTTAGTTGTGACTCACAGAGTCACAGAATATTAATCATCTTTTACCCCTTCTTACTCTGTCCTTAGGCAAATTGCTGTTGACTCTACTGGAATGCAGAGGGCCTAAGAAAAGGCAGACCCAAATCTGAGGCAAATAACTTTGGTCCTATACCAAAATTTACTTATCTTGTCATGCAAGTGACTGTCCATGTAGTTCTGCTTCAAACTATTGAAAGCAACTGTGTGTAATGAAAATACAGAATTGTTTTTGAATATAAAAGACACAGTAATGTGCTTGTCACATCTTGGGATCAATATTTTCCTCACATAAAAGGTGTCAAGACTATGGTGTGGCACAAGTCAGCTGTCTTAAATAATTTTTTTAATGATAAGTAGTATGAAGGGTCTAAACAAGCAGCATCGCAACCCACTTGTACCTGAATGATCTGTTGGTTGTATTCCACTGCTAATGCATTTCTTCTTGCTCTTATTTTCTTGACAGACAAAAAACCTCCCAGTACAGCCTGAGAGGCCCAGTTACCCAGCTCCACTCTTCCTCTCCCCATGTGTCACTTATGGGGGTTGTGGGATGGTTCTTCACTGTCCGGATCCTCGGGCACATCCAGTGCCTCGCAGGGCACAGAAGCAGCAGCAGCAGTGCTCGGTGAGGTCCCCACCATCCCCTGTGTGACAGGGACACTGATCTTCTCACAGCATGGTGACCACAGGTGGCCATCACCCTGCCATCCTCAGCTGCAACTGAATCTGTGCTTTCCTAGTGTGGTGTTTAGTTCAGATCAAGATTGAATTCACTTTGGCAAATACTCTTTATCTGTAACAGCACTAAGAAGAAAAACAGGGATCCTTTACATTTGTTTGTTAATTTAAAAAAATAAGGTTGTTTGATTGGAGTATTGCTGATTTCTTAGATTAATTTATTCCCGTGACAGACATTCAGAGCCCTTTCTAGCTGTATAATTACCCCGCTTCAGAGGTAGGGATCTGCTCTGAGCCTTCAACATAAGATAATAAAAACCAAATCAGCAGAAGTGGAAGTTCTGTCTGAGTGTGGCTAACACAATGGGAAATGTGCCTTTTTTATTTCTGGAACACAACAGGGTCCTGTCTTCCTCCGCATGAAGAAGAATAGCTTTGCACTGGAGCAGGTTCTGTGAGTGGGAGTTATTTATTCCAAGGAAAATACTGCTTCAGAGAACATTTTTGAAGTGCTTTGGGTTATCTAAGTGGGCTGGCTTGTTCCAATCTACTGAGAATGCATTTAAGCATGGTGAATGTCATTTTAAATACACAATATCTGATTCTGGCTATAAAGCTGTCACATATGGGAAGGTGCTCATTATTTGAGAAATTATAGCTGAATTTTTGCAAAATGCATGTAAGGCTTTCGGGCTGTAGAAATCCAATGGAAAAGCTGTGGTCAGACAAGTAATTTCTGTGCTTCAGGAGTGTGCTTATCTCCTATTTATCAAAGTTGGAAGTATTGCAGAATGTTTTTCCCTGCAATTTGGACACTGGCCCAGATGATTTTGGCTCTTCTCCCTGAACTTTCATCATCTGGGTTTCTAATTCTGTGAGGGATCACTGGGTTTACAACTTTGTCATTCCTGCTGGAGCGCCGGTGTCAGTCTGACTGGTTGCTTTGTAACTCCCAGTTTCATTCTGACCCTTTTTTTTTTCAATTCTTTGCCTGTGTGAGTTGCTGCTCTGGGCTTTGGGTACCTCCCTGAGCAATTTGTTAGCAATGAAGAAAGGTGTTAGAATTTAATGGGTGTCCTGATATGTAATCCTGCATATTTAGGCTGTGCTTTTGCTTTTTCATTCTTTTTCTGTTCTTGCACTTTTTCATTCCTTTTTACACTCTAGTAGAAACATTTTGGTTAGTCTGATGTGAAATACACATCTTGTTCTTGAAATTCATTCAGATTTGCGGGGTGTAGGTACATAAAAATAGAAGAATTGATCAGAGAACATAAAATTCACCAGAAACTCAAAAAAGCAATGCAAATGAGTGTAATTTGAGCCACTGGTGAAAAACTACCTGTGCTTAAAGCTTTCTATCAAAGTCTGCTTTGTTTGCCCACAAGCACAGAATTAGTTAATAATTCCTGTGACTGGTACAATTTAAGTTAAAATACAATAGCTCCTTTTTCTCTGACAGTGGATGAGAGTGATTACTGCTGCATAAGCGTGAGTGACAGCAAAACATAAAAGTTAAATCTGTTTTCTCTAACTACAGCTTCATCCTGCCATCTTAATTCAGGAAAAACTTCTGTAGGAGTCTATGAAATTTGTTCCCTGCAAATTGAAATCTGCAAGATGCCCCTTGGGGCTACTCAATGATTTTGTCAGAGTAATTTCTGCAAAACAAGAATCATTTTTCCAGTGTAACTAATTTGAAGCAGCAATTACCTAGACTTTGACAAGCTTGTATAGACTGCTTATTCCAGACAGACAACCTAACACAGCTTCAGCTGATATGGCTGGTCCCAAAGTTGTTTTCTCTAGTGGTAATTTGCTACTCATTTACCACAGTGGGTGGTATAAACTATAATGCATTATTTCTTACAAGATTTCCCTGGACAAAACTGTGTCTGCATGGACATAACCTTCCCAGTACTTCCTCCTATGAGAAAGATGGGAATTTTCCCTATCCCACGGTATTTTCAGCAAGTTATTTGATAATAGCTAATGCTATAGTAACAGCACTGCTAACCTGTGAGCAAAGGGAGGAGGGGAGAGAACTTTATTCCATGGTTCATTCCTGTCACACTGGAGCATTTTACAGCTGCTACAGATGCATTCAAACTGGAGCAGCTTCACCTATCAGGTGGGCCGGGTTTCTCTGGGCTTCTTTGGTAGATGCCTGCTGGTATCTTCTGCTGCACTTTACTCCTTAGCCCTTTTAAAGTCTGGTTTGGTTCTCTTAATGTTTCAGTGTGATTTGTGGGATCTAGAAAGGTTTACACCAATTTTTCTAATGCCATAGGAAAGGGAGCAAGCTGGAAGACTGGGATCGGTGGAAACAAACCTAAATATAAGATTTTGTTTTAAACCACTTTTGAATGGCTAATGAGAGGCTATACAATTATGCACAATTATGTTTTTATCATGTCACTCCTCTTTTGTTTGAAGTGCCTGTGAAGTCCATATTGCTGCAATAATGTTTTATTGTTCTGTGCAGCCAGACTATCAGTGGTATGTTCCTGACCAGCTTCCGCCAGATGTGCAGCACAAGGCAAATGGTAAGACAACAGCTGTACAGAGCATGTATTAAATGTACTTTTTTTTCAAATGGAGGCCTTTGAGGGATGTAGAGTAAACTTTCCTGTCTATCTGTTGAGTGCTTGTGTGACAGCTTTGCCTTGGAGAGTCAAGGCTGATGTTTGTGCACCACAGGTGAGGTTTCTGATGTAATAGCCTCTATGTTATAGCTTTGTTGCAATTCATAAAATGTCTCTATTACACATTTGCCTCATTAAACACCTAGTAATAGTCCTAAAGAAAAGATACCCTCGGAATTCTCCTTAGAGCTTCTGTTGCTCCAGTGAAGGCCGAATTTAACAACGTGCCAAAACAGGGGGCCAGCATGGGCAGGTTTAGGAGACCTTGGTAACAAAGTGCAGGCTTTTGGATGTTGTATCACCTTAAAGACAAAATGCCCATTGCTGTTCCTGGTCTGTTCTGGTAGTTCAGATGGTCTGAAAATAGAGCCATGCAAGTGAACAGAGTTATATACTTGCCAAAGAGTCAGCACAAACTATTTTTTGGAAACAGGGAGGAGTAATTAATATTTGTGTCTGAATTTGAAATCATTCCTGGGTGTTTTGAAGTACTTGTTTCATACCACTCAAAAGATGGACACCACAAGAGATCTCTTCTGGCTGGGAATCTGCCATCCCATGGTGCCAGGAGGTACCAGATGGGGTGGCAGGGGCTGCTGAGTCCAGAAGCTGTTTTGTTACATCTGGAAGAAGAAGATGGCTGCAGAGGAACTGTTCCATTATTTGCTGTCATCCATGTTTGCCCAGAAGAGAGGGTAGAGTGGAAATGTCGCTCACCAAAATGGCTGATGGGCATCCCATAATTACCCAGCTGCTCTTTGGAGAGTTCTGATGTGGTCACAGGGAAAGTAGTGCTGTGCCTGCACAGCAGAACAGGAGATTAATTTTGCCATTCCTCCCACTCAAACTCCAAGTGATTTACTGCACCAGAGGATACAGGGAGGATGTTTATAACAGGGAATGAAACCAGTCCTGCCACCAACTGCAGCTGTGGTCCAGGGCAGTGCACTTGGGGGATCTGAAGAAAGAGAGTTGTTCTTCTACCCTGCTTGACTACGTGACTTGACTTCTCACTCTCTGAGAAAAACTTATTGAAAATCTGTGCTCTGTCTTTCTATTACTGTTCCTTGCCCAGAACATCCAAACACCTCCTTGTCAACAGGACAAGGATGAGGAGACTTTTCCCTTCTCTTTTTGCTCCAGTCCCTTTAAAGAGGATTTCTTAATAGTCCTATCATAGTGCAGTGTAGGATATCTGCTTTAACATCTTCTGGGCTTTTATTCTCTTTATCCTGGCTGCCAAAACAGATGATTTTGATAATTTATCCATAGATCACACAGAGGTCAGACTTCCACTCTCAAAATATTGAGTCACGAGCCTGGCTTTATGTATTATATATAATTTTCTGTATTAAATCTGCCTGTAAGTATTTTGGGAAAGTTTTCCAAGATAGAAGCTCCAAGAATATGTGATGAGCAAGAGTTCTTGATGTGCCCATTTCTTTGCTCCATTTTGTACAAGAGCTAATTACACTGGTGGGTCTAAATGAGCCAGTATGTGCAGCAGCTTTCCTGATTCTCTGTCCTCATCCTTCATTTTCTCAGTAGATTACACATGGGCAGATAAATCTTCTCTCTGCTGAGCTAGGTCTTCATTATAGGAAACAAATCAGCAGTGAAGCAACTTTTAGGCATGAAAGAGTTTACTTTAGGAATGCTATTTCTGTAGATTGATATTTCTAGGGAAAACCTTTAAAATTTCCCTTAACAAATGTTCCTTTGACACTGGACATGTTTTCTTAAGTAATAATTATGAAACACAGGTCACAGGTTGTAACTTCAGAGCTGAACACAAGTGAAATGAGTTGGGAAACTGATATTCTTGATAATATTCCATTTAAAAAACCTGGTTTAGAGAAATCTGAAATCTGTGAGAGTCTCATAATGTGATTGGAACTTTAAAGGTGTATGTCACTAAGCAGGACTTACTAATTTTTTTCTGTAGTTTTGTATAAGGCACCTTCATTGTGTTCTCCTCCCCCTTCTGTGAGGAAGGAAGGTGTTTGCATTCAGGTACTTTTGCATTTGACTTGGGTTCTGCAGGGGAACTTTTGTAACCAGCTGCAATCTCATGTTTTCTGCTTCTCCTGTGACCATATCTGTACTTGTGACTGGCAGCACTCTCCTTAGCTGCTCCCATGGTAAGAGAAAGCTGTCTCAAAGGACTGCTGCCCCTGTTAAGCCCAGTTTGTCTTTCTGGTTTTTTGAGAAAACTTTTTTGCTGTCATCTATATATATAGGATTAGCTCTGAAAAATTTTTTAAATTTAAAAAAAACCCAACCCTTTGCTACAGAAATTTGATGAACACTATTTGATACTATTTTCTGAAGTTTGCTCTCCAGACTGTTATTTTCCCCAGAGATGTGTTTTGGTAGTTGGCAGAGGAACACTTACGCAGTGTTGTGTCCAGCACTGAGCTCTCATGGTTGTGTGATGGTTTGGCTGTGGGACTTTTAGATTTGAGCCCTTTCTAATAAACTGGGAATAAATTAATCAGAAAACAGGAAAAGGATGAGGGGAATAGGGTGGGCAAAATGAGAGGAAATAAAAACCCCAACCTTCCAAAAGCTGCTTAGAACCTCAGATACTCATAGCAGCGTTCAGCTTGTCTTCCAAAAAAGCAAAGGTGTTTCCTTTAAGGTCCCAATAAAGAAGGAGAAGTAAAGTGGAAATGTAGGTGATACAAGATAGAGATTAAGGAAGATGATGAGATTTCCTTACTGCCCTGGCAATATATTTCCAAGAGAATAACTCTTCTTTCCCACCTCTGGACTGATCCCTCCCCAGGTGCCTTGCTGTGCAGGAAGTCTTAGTCCTAAAATATGCTTAAGTTTTCCCAGCCTTGTCTTGTTGGACCAGCAGTGCTGCCTTAGGAGGAACTTCAGCTCTTAAGTCTCTCTGTGCTCTGTTACACTCCTGATGTCAGATTCTGACCTTTTTGGTCTTGGTTATATAGTTCTGTTTGGTTTTTGTTGATGATTTGGGATTTTTTTTTAATTTTTAAGGAGCAAGGCAGAAAGATTTCCAGCAAATGTACTTAATGTCACTTTATTTGGCAAGCAGTGTTGACTTCCTTCCTTATCCAACTGTGAAAAATTGAAAAGACAGTTGTAAAAAAGAGCTTGATCTTGGAGATTTTCCCTGGACCCAGATATTTAATGCAAAATTCTCTAGAAAAAAAAAGGTTTATTGCTCAAAAGCCTACTCGGGGCAAGAACCCTTTTGCATGCTGCAACTGCTGGCATGTCTTGCCTTTTTCACTTGCACAGTTCATCCTACTGCATTTCTTTCCTTGGCAGAAAGATTCCCAGTAGATGCATTTAAGGACCCCAGTTACCCCTTCAGGACATCAGATACAACCAATGGCTTTCTCCAGCCTGAGCTGGATGTTTTTATCTTGGATCCACTGATGCCAGGCATGGGGAAAAGCCCGAACGGAGCCTTTTGCTTCCCTCTCCAGGGGTAGCTCTGGAGGTTTATGGCAGCAGCTGGTCACCTCTTCATCTTGGCAGGCTCAGGGAAAGCAGAGCTCCACCTGCACAGCCCTAAGGGTGCCCAGATGAGCACATGGATGTGCCTGCTTACTTCCATTAGAATCTCATCTCCTCTTCCTTTCCATACTCTGCTGCTTCCCAGATTTTTGCCCTGGAGGCACCTAATTTGCTGCTAATGTTGTTATAATTACAGTTAATTGGAAGAAGAGGAGGGAGAAGTATGGGGTTTGCCATTGAAAATAATGACATCTGTAGGGAGAGGGGGGGAAATGTGAAAAACTGAAAAAAATGGATTTGTGGAGGTCTTCAGTAAAAACCAGACAGAAAAAAAAGTCATTTAATTGACATCTTAATTTTCCTAGAAAAAATCCCAGACCCCTAACATTTCTGGTATTAGCATGTCCTCAGTGCATACATTACATGAGAAATTATCAGTGCTTCCAAGTAGTCAAGACAGATTCAATTAGCAGCTTGCCATCCCCATTGGGAATGAAAATGTGATTATTTTCAGCATTTTTACTGGTACAGCTTGATTTCCGCTACTGCAAAAAGGCCATTAACACACTTCTGATTCCTAACTCCAGAACATGTGAAGTTCAAGTGCTTTTAAAAGTCAGCTTGAGCTGAAGATCACAGAAGGTGGTGTAGTTCTTCAGAGTACCAGGCAGAAAAGCCTCTTGGGAAGAGGAACAGGATATGTGATTTAAACAGCTGCAGGATTTGATCATTTTATTTCTATGAGCCAAAAGATCAGGATTCACCATTGCTGATGTTTTCTCTTTAAGTGGAATACTGACTGCACTTGTGCTTGTGCTACTAGAGATGTCTTAGAGCATTTTTCCAAAACCTTTGAAGCTTCAGGAAGTATGTGTTGCACCAGCAATAGCATATTTCCTTTCTTCAGTTTTGTTTTATTTTCCTAGCTTGAGTGACTTACTATCAAACACATTTTTGGACCACAGACACCTGCTTAGCCATGGGTACTACCACCTAATTATTCCCTCTGTCAGATTTAGCTGCTCTCTTGGGTGCACCTAATGCCAATGTACACCTCTGAGCACTGCTGAATGTCAGCTGATCTTTTTAGAAGTCTGGAAAGGTTTTACAGGGGGCTTTAAGCCATTAGACCCTACTGTTTGCTCTGTGTCAACCATCAGGATTAGAGGAAGGTTGAGACAGAGACTCCTGGAGCGCTCTCTGATATCCCCACTCTCTTTTGCTTCTTCACTCCTCCTGCCACTTGTATTGGTTTGATTACAGCCTTGTAATGAAGTACAGCATTGGCTTTGGGGTGTGTGTGCACGAAAGTGTTACAAAATGGAGGAAAATTACTCCTAAGTGGGTTGTATTTCTCAATGTCACAGTAATTCCCATTGATTTTGCTTTTGCAGATTCCTCCCTGGAGAAGGGAGCCCATCGCTGACAGCCTCCAGCCTGCAGGAGAGTAAACCAAAGGCTGCAAGGGACTCTTGCAACTTCATTATTCTGTTTTCTTCTGGGGTTTTTTTGCTCCTAGCTCCTTATCTCTTCAGTGTATGTGATTTATATCTGGTAAAATCCCTGTGAGGACAATAGAAAAGCAGCTCATACAGGCTGGTGATCCTCAGGATCCAGTTAAACTCTGCTGGGAAGCGTTACTGCCCTTTGTTCTGAAGATGCTGTTTGTGCTGCCTTGTGAGAATCTCTTTAGAAGCCTGATGAGAAGAGAGGCAGTTCTTGCTGAGGATTCAGACTGTCACATCTGGTTTGGATTCAAGAGCTTACAAGCCCAATAGTGGTGTGATTTTTTTTGGTGGTTGTTGTTTGGGAATGATGAGGGTTTTTATTTGATTCCAGGGAATGGTTTGTTGATTGATCACCTTGAATTCTGTCTTCTCCTTCTTGCTAAAAGGAAAATCTGCTTCACTGTTTAAACTCCTTTGTGTAATTGTGATCAGGGTACCACCTATGCCAGGCCAGGTAAAAGGTGCCCACCTCCCCTTTTGAGTCCAGGTCAGATCTCCTTTTGTTTTGGCTCTCAAATTACATGTAAAGCATAACCACATGGGGTTTTTTTTTGTATGTGTACTTATTTATATTGCAAGAATTTTAGTAGGAATATTGAATGGGTTTAACTTCGCGGTGAATATGGCTTTATATTTCCAAATTATTCTTGTAATGAATCTGAACATTGTCATGTAACCTCTAACCAAGAATAAAACCTGGCTTTTTAAATGAAATTGTATTTAGACAATAATTTTTTTTCAGAAAATGTTGCTGGATGAGTGTCCAGCAAACATTATTTGATAATCTATGTGCAAGATTGTCTCTTCCCTTCAGGCTTTTAAGAAGGCTGCTGTTGAGAAACAGGTATCCAAACCTGCTGGGACCCCACCTGAAAGAAGAAACGGATTTTTGCAGGACATGAGATGTCCTGCTTGCTTTCATGATAGCTCAGGAGTATTTCATGTGGATTTAAGTTCTGACACAAACAGTTTTTTGAGCTGTGCCAAGACAGAGTCCTCAGCTACACGATGGCCTGCATGTGTCATTTCTGCTTATAGAACAGGTGTTTCCATTCCTTTCAATATTCAGAGGCCTGTGCATAGAAATAATAACCTTACAGCATTAAACATGTCCAGAATTTGATTCTGGGCTCAATGGGGAGCAGTCCATGGGAAAGAATTCTTCTTCTTTTACATTGTAGAGCAATGCTGCTTCTGCCAACAGGGATGAAAGAGCTGACATTCCTGACTTACAGGACGGACTCGGGAAGAGCAGGAGCAAAGCACTGAGCAAGGCAGCCCCCAGAGAGAAGTTGTTTTTGGTGAACTATTGAAAATTAGAGTTTGACTGCAACCTTAGCTCCACAATGGACTCCCGAGTCTCTGCTAGAGAGAAGAGAGTTTTTATCTCTGCATTAATTTGGGACTGGCTTGCAGACCCTGCAGCAGCAGATAATGCAACCAGCGCACAATATAACCGCGCTCCTCCTGATTAGCGATTTGCCTAATAAGGGTGAGATCATGGAAAATGCTAATGCACTGCCTTCGGGAAATCCAATTAGAATGTAACCTCCTTCAATGGGAGCTCCCAGCAGGTGACCGGCGCTGCGGGCAGAGCACCCCGCGCTCGGAGCGCCGGGAATGCCCGGAGCGGGAGCGCTCCGTGCTCGCTGCGTTCTGCGCCGTGCTCCATTCACTGCCGCTCCCTTCCCCAGCCCTCCGCCGAGGTTTGCGCCGGCCATTTGCGGCGCTTAACTCATTGTCTGACGGCATTAGCTGGCCCGAAAGGACGATTGAACGCGAGCTATTCACAGGGAGAAAATGGTGTTTGCTGGTCTTTATAGTCACGGGCTTTTAATGTTTGTCAGGCTCGGGCGCAAGACTGTAAACTTTGGCTCACGCAAATCCTGGTGTTGTATGATAGGGAGTTTGTATCTTTTAAAACGCACATAAAATGCCTGGAAGTTGCTTTTCCGCTTTATTTTCTTGGAATGATGTATGCTCCCCCAGTGCAGGTGCTGTCATCTGTCTGAATTAGCATTGCCAGGCTCAAACACCCCCAAAGGAAATGCTTTCTGCAGTGACCCAGACAACTCAGAGGGGGTGAGTTATTTTAGTTAAAATCAACCATAGTGTTCTTAACAGGGATTTTTCCTTCCTCGAGCTGTGCCAAAACTGGATATCAACACTCCCAGTTCTCCCTTAAAAACACAGGGTCTTTGGGGACTTTTTGTCCTCTTTTTTTTTTTTTTTTTTTTTTCCTATGGAGAAAAATGTTTTGTTTTTATTCATAGTCTCATGAATTATAGCAAGAACACACCACCCATGAAAATATTTTCTTCTCCGATGAAACAAATTGTATAAACAGCAGAACTAGAAATCCATGGTGAACACTTTGGGTGAAATAATGCTCTTTTACCCTTCGGCTCACATTCGAAGACTTGCACTTCATTATCTTTGCATCATCCAGCCTCCTATCAGTCATTGCTTGGTCCTGATTACCCAGAAACTGGTCAGCAGTTTCTGGATGATCAGGATCATGGGGTGCCTGAAATTTCTGGTCTTCATCACCTCTCTCTCTTTCAGTAGTCTAGAATAGAATGAGAAAAAGCAGGTGGTGTATGACCATGCCTTTTGGTCAAGCAATCTCAGCTTCCCACTAGCATGGGTGGGGAATGTGCCCTTGAAATTGTACCTTGCCCATAGCACCCTGTGCTGAGCTGAGAGGGTAATTCTAATTTCATTCAAGTTCTCTCTCTCTCTCTTTTTTTTTTTTTTTTTTTTTTTAAGTAATCCTCAAGTTCAAAATGGTTTCTGTATTTTAACTGTTGTGAGAATGACAGAAGAATTTCTCTGATTTGTGCAGATGCAAGTTTAAAGGTCTGCAAGACACCACGGGGTGGAAAGCATTTTTCTGATTAATAAAACACTTTCCCCCCAGGAGCCAGGATGCTGGTTAATGCTGTGTTTTCACTTAGAGCAGCAACAGTCCTGCTTCCACCTGCCCTATAAAAGGGCAGCACCCAGGTGCTTCCTGTCCAAGGGCTGCTTTTGTGAGAGCCCAAGGCCCACGCTGGCCATGGGCGGGCAGCGGTGACAGCAGGGCTGGGGCAGCCAGGGAGGGGACCTGGTGGGTTCCTCACGGTCTGTGGATCAGTGCAGGAGTTAAGACCTCTCAACAGTGACACTATAGATTGCAGTTTTGGTCTAATGGGAGATACCAGTCCAAGGAAGGGTCTGAAGCTCTTCTCAGGGCCAAGGGAAAGGATTTGGAGAAGGGAAGTCTTGTGGAGCAAAGCAAGGATGCGTGCTGCTCGTGTCTGTAGCACATGACCTGACTGAGAGAGAAGTGACAGCTCTGGCAAATGGCAAAGCTCCTTTTTTGGCCTTTTTGTCACCTGGGTGGTTCCTGTCATTTAGTTGCTTGCTTTAGCTGGAAGAACAGAGGGAGATGTTTTAATTTTCTTGGAAGAAGTTTTCCTGTTGTGCCTTCCTGTGTTCAGGCATCCCGTGTATCAGCTGTTGGTCATGTTAATCCCACATTAATCCATTTAAAACAACGACATTACCCTGCAGGGCTGGCACATGCAGAGACTCTTTGCAAGTCATTCACCAAACCGGCTCTAGTTTTGATTAAATATAGCAGTCACTTAAAACTCTCACTTAAGGTTAGGACAAAGCACCAGCCAGATTATTTTAGCCCTATGCTAAAAGTTAGGGAAAACTGCGCTTTTCTGAAGGTTAAAATGAGAGCTGCTCTTTTTGCAATTCCTAATGTTTTTTCCTCTTTCTCCTCAGTGCCAGATTTGCAGCCTGTCCTTTATAGTCATGCCCCAGCATGGAATCTGTAGAAATGATGTCAGGAGAAACAATCCTAATTATGGAATGGAGGGGATTAGCAATGATAGCAGAAAATCACAGTCATCAGCACCAGGATATTTCAAAGAAAATTCCTTCTGTGTAAGTGACCTGTTCAGACACTAAAGCAGCTTTGGAGGGGCAGTCAATCTCCCCATATTTCCAGCTTTCTTTTAGGAAAGAAAAGCTTGACAGGAGAAAAGCTGATCTCTTCTGAACTGGAATAACGGTACTCTGTTATGTTGGCAGTAGCAAGAGAGGGATTAGTTGATTCCCTGTTAAAATTCCCCTGTGGTCAAGAATTAAGTGAGGGTGGGGATGCCAAAGAGGGGACTTGGAGCCTCCAGTGATGTGCTTGCTCCAGAAGGGAAGGGAGCTCACTAAAATCAGGTTTGAGGCATGAATATTGCATTACAGTTAACTAAAAGCAGGCTTGACTCTGGCTTAGTAATGCCAGCAAAATTGGTTGCTCACAGGGTTCCTAATCCTTAATAGTGATAATTAAAATTCAAAGAGTGTGTGTGATGTTGTTATCTCACTGCCCATGGCTTCTGAAGAGACATCTGACTTCCCTGAGGATTTGGGTGTGGTCGGGTCAGAGCACTGGAGCTGCTTTTCTGTTCCTGGGTGATAAATTAATAACAGAGCACTTGGAAACACAGCTCAGAAAGAGGTGCAAACCCAGAAAACCTCCCCACCAAATCAAACCCACTGCATTACAAGATACCTGTTGGGCTTCCGAAAAAAAATTTAAATCCTCAGGAAAAAAAAAAAAAAAAAAAAGAAGGCAATTAATCTCAATGTGCTGTTAATTTAATAGTATTCCCATGTGGAGTCTTAGTGCTACTGTCACAAGCTGGCCATAACTTCCTGCTGTTCCACAGATGCTTGTGACAGGTTCTGCTTTTCATGCTCATTTCTTTGCAGCCCTTCACTTTGGAGTCACAGCAGACCATCTATTTGTAATTTGTTTTCTTATGTTTTGAGTCAAACAAGGTTTGCAGAAAGTAAAATTCCCATTGGAAAAGAACTTAGAAATGTGCTGCTGTACTGCCAGGAACTTTTTTTCCAAATAATTGAATTCTTATTAATTGGCATTTTCACTTTGATGAATGCCAACAGTCAAGCTCTGGCATGCTGTGTGGCTTTCTGTATCTGAAAGCACAGATAAGACATGTGGGAAATGCAAACAAAAAACCCGAGTACTGCCAGGGAGGGGGAGGATATTAATAAGGAAGGAATATCCCTTATGAGTTCCTTGTTTGATTTGTTCATATTCATTCAGTCTATTCTGCCCAAATTTGTTTAGTTTCTGTATGTAAACACCACTACTGTTTATGAGCAGTGTTTCATCTTGGTTTGGAACAGCTTCAGCTTATGATAAGTGTCAGCCTTCCTTCTTCTGAGAAGAAAATGATGCGGGCATTGCACCTCGATTTGCGTGTGCTGGGAGGGTGTGGCCCTGGCAGGGTGTTTCATGGCTCCTGAGCAGATGCCATTCATCTCAGTCAACTGCTCTCAAAAATACTACATTTCAGTTGCAGGCATCTAAATCCCCATTAAATTCTTCAGGCTACTTTAAGCTTTGACATATTAGCCCCTGAAATTGTGCAGACATTCTGCCTCTGAAGTCCCCAGAGGGAGGGCTCTGCAGAGCCCAGACTGAGTCTGGCTTTGCTGAACTGCATGGATATTCCTTGCTCTGTAGGAAAAACCTGTGTGGAAAACTCAGGCTCTTCCAGGTGGTCTAAGGCCTGTGTGTGCAGGTGATGATGTTAGTGAACAGCCTGTGCTCGTATGTGCACTTGCATATTTCTATTT